AAAAAAAAAAAAATTCAGCGAAAAAAACTGCAGAAAGTTTGGCCTACCACAAAAGGCACGTGATGCAGTTAGGCGAAGCAAAGCCGAGATACAAAAACACGGCTAGTGATGGCCGCCGCCCTGCAGAAGGAACTCCAGGGAGGCCTTGACCCCAGACAGCAACAGCTGCGGCAACTTCGTATGAATTGTTTCTGGAGCCACGTGATGCTTCACCTCTTCCAAGGAACACACCTGCACAAAATGTTCGAGTGAGACGTACTTCAACAAATCCCGCGGGCCGAGAGTGTTTTTAATGTTCCTCGCACGCTCCACACCGGCATCCACATTCTCCTCCTGGGTCGTGGCTGCGGTTTCACGCGAATGCAACAGAAGTAGTGATGATGAAAGGGTGACGGACGCAGGGCTATTGAACGCAAACTTCTCTAGTTCCCCTTTTAAAGCAGAAGCAAATGCAACATGGACCCATGTATAGTACTCCTCGGGCGTCGTATACGCGACGAAGGATTCCCAATCGGCGTGGAGAGCGTAATTGTGAACACCGACTGTATTCATGAGAAAGCGTGCCGCCTCCTCGCCCTGTAGGCCATCTCGCCTTGCGCCTCGATCCAACGCCTGGTACATCGCAACTGACACAAACTCACAATTGGTGGCATTCCACGTCTTGCTTGGCCCCAAACCTTTCAGAAGCAGCTCCGGTCCACCAGAGCATCCCGCAGCGCCACCCAAGGGCGTCGTCAAGGTGGAGTTCCTCTTGCTGTCGGTTGCAGAAACGGGGTCCGCGAGAGGCACGACTGCGGCGGCGTAGAAGTTGCGTTCACTCTCCAAGTATTCACCGTGCGCCTTGGGTATGCAGTCCGGTTCTTGTAACAGTTTAGAGTAAAACTCAGCCGTGTTGCCAAAGCCGTCAAGAACACTGGCGACGGGTCGTGTGAGAAGTCCAACGGCACCTGCTGCAATGCCAGTGCAAAACCCAGCAATGCCAGCATTACGTGCGCCGTTCCATGGGCGGGAAACAACACCCTCAATGCCGCCACGCAGACCTTGCGCAACGCCCCACAAAACGCCACTTGGCTGCGAAGAATCATTTAAACGTTCATTTTCATCTCTTGCCTCAAGCCAGTCGTTGTCCCATGAGATGCTCGCCGCCGTTCTGCTGCCCACACGTGAAAGAAGACCAACAGAGTGTAGTGTAGAGGATGTTGTGGCAAGGAGGAAAGCGCGTGCGCCCTTTAGTGGATTCATATCGGCTGTTTCCACCACAAACGACCGAACACCTTTCCCCCAGCCGCTCATCAGTGCCAACGGGTTGCCGAGCACCTCCAATGAACCGACTATTTTATATAGCTGTAGGAGAAACTGATTGCGATATGATGGCCACAGCATTGACACAAGAGCCCCCTGCAGCGAGTTGCTGCATTGGTTGACATCCGTCCTCTCTACCTCACCAATGATCAGCGGTGCCCGCTCCACAGAGGGCACCAGCCGGCCACCCATTGTGAAACCGGCGAATGGGTCAAACTTACCATCACTGCGGCGAGTGATGGTGAGTTCGAGATCAATCCGTGATACCATCAGGTGTCCAATGTGACAGTTATAGATCAAAATATCTTCAGAGATAACAGATGATTCGGGGGAAGTGTTTTCGGAGGTATCTTCCGAACCACCATGTACGGTCTTTGCGATATCCATCTGTTCCACCGCCTCCAAGACGCATATGCCCGCCTGGCGCAACACAAACAACAAGGAGTCAGCAAGGTTCAACGTCATTGGGGCCACATTAACACAGAGATGTTGGAGGGGAACAGTCACAATCTTTGGTGAAACATGGCTTCTCTCTGTAGTAGCCTCTTCTTCTGGTACGAGCGCATGCACATTGATAGAGAATGATGGTTTACCGCCCTCCTCTTGACATTTATTGATTGTGTCCTCCCCACCATCAAGGCAGACGATAATGGGATGAAGAGGACGAGGAGTAGTGCAGTCAATGAGTGCCAGGCGGCCAACATCAAGTCGGCCGAAATAGTGACGCTCATTAATAGAGATAGCACTGTAAATACCAACAGCCTGCACGAGGATGACATCAAGTTCGCTTCGCTTGAGAGCAGCAAGAAGCTCGGCGTTAGTAGACTCGGTAGTTGCCATGCAACCAAGACGGAGTTGGTTCCTCTTGATCAGTGTAGCGAATGGTGTGTTCTGAAGAGACGTCTCACTCTTTGGGACGCATATTGAGGCAATATGCAGCGAAAGCGATTGAATAAATGTTTCCAAGTGGATAATGTAACGGGGCTGAAACAGGAGTGAATTTTCAAGTGAACGGTCTACTGTGACAGAGACGTAGTATCTCTGAAGGCTGTAGTCGTATGTACAAAGAACAAACATGTGCTTTGACGTCTGCACAGCCTCACGTGTTGTAGCGGCCTTGGCCAAGTCAATGGTGCAGCTCTGTGAACGTTCACTCCCACCAAACAACGTCAATCGCATGATTGGCGTCACGTGTTCACCCTTGAAGCACGTCACACCGTCAACGAATGGCTGAAGAATGTACACATTTACAGCTCGTTCATCTCGTGACGCAGAGTTCTGAATCTGTTCGTATTGCAACAATCTCCCCGTACGATTCTCAACAACCACAGGAATATTCTCATCAAGAGTGAAATCAACAACAAAGTAGCCATTTTTATGGCGTGACGGCGCAATAGAAAGGCAAGTGAAACGCTCACGCTCACCTTCTCCACCCACAAACTTTGGGACACGCAAGCTCGTGAATATCCTTACACCCAGGCTCAAGTGCGCTGCCGGCATCTGTGGCACGTCAACTCCCATGTTTTCTTCACGAATAAGATGTTTCATGACGATGGGCACATTCGAGCTGGACAGTGTAACGAGTTTTACTACCTCGGACCATGCAAAGAGTTCCTTCTCGTCAGTGCCGTAGCGCACCTGCACAAGTGGATCCATTGCAGAGGATGCCGCGAACGTCGTCCACTCCATCGTCATCCGTGGCGCGATAACGGCCGTTTCCTCCAGCCCCACACAACGAACTGTCAACGGCAGCGTGTGACTCTTGTTGCGGAACACCCACATTGACTCCAAACGAACCACCGGTGTGGGAGTGAACACCTTCTTCATGCCGCCTGTACGATGCGCTTTGAAGATGCGGACTATGTCTCCATCTACACTCTGAAGCATACCCGAGAAAGTTGGCGCATTGCATGCAAACTTCTGAGAATGCTTCGCTGTGTTGCTACCAGCCACAATGCAGACAGAGACGGCAGCATTAGGCTGTGGAAGGCGCTGCCGGGTACTTGAGTGCGTCACAGACAACTTGTCTCCCGGCGCGAGTCCCACCCCGCTCTTCTGCCCAATCACCAGTTCCTTGGAGTCGTCGTATACCCACACGGGGAAAGAGAGCGCATTCACAAGGATGACCGCCACGCGCACAACAAATTTCCAAGAAGCTGTGCGTTCGACAACGAGGGCGATTATTTTTTCTTCACCAGGAGCCTTCATGCCAACTGTTGTGGTGCCTCTGAAGGTGAGCGGTACTGGCTCCAAAGAGCACAAGCGTACACCGTTTGCCAGCTCACACGTTAAGTTTATCATGGGCGTCTCATCATCACGGCACTGGGAGAAGCAGTTGAACTCTTCTTGGTCCTGCACAAACGACAAATCAGTAGCAGTAGAAGCAGCAGCAGCAGACACTTGTGCTGAGGACGATAATGGCGTTATAGTGACAGCGAGTGGTGCTCCTGTTTGATTAAGTACAGTGGCCAGTGGGCACACAGAGAGCTCGACTTCATAACGGGGCAACAAACGTGAGGTACGTGGTTGGCTCTCCAATGCCACTCTCCGCGTTAAAACCAGGAGGATCCCGAATCCATTCGCTTCTTTCCTCGTCTGCTTTGTGTCACCCTCACCGTAATGGTCCTCAGTGAGTGTAAGTGGCACAACAAGCGTGTTATCATCATCCATGTACGCACAGCGTGGGAAAACGTTGTCGTCGCTGCCACTGTTTGACCAGGTATCGCCGCGTCCCTCCGGCAATAGCGTGAATGCGCTTATAAAAGCTTCCAACGTCATAAGTGAGTTCTTCACGTTCAGCCGCCATCCCCCTATCATCAGCGAGAGGGGCTGGCGCAGGCACGGGAGAGTAGCATAGCGTGTCTCCTTGGGGCGTACCACAAATGGTTCAAGAAGGCTTGCAGGGAAACATACCGTATACGTGGCCAGTTCATTCTTCACCTCCACAGAAGTAGTAATGTCCACCACACGCTTCATCTCGTCCAGGCGCATCGCCACATCCATGACTCCAGTAGAGCCTCCTATGAGAGGGAAACGATACGTCTCTCCACGCTGCATAACCGATAAGTCCACCTCAGTTCCCAACGCGCCGATGTTCTTGTATTGCTTGGAAATTTCTTCTTCTTCACCATGAATGACGCGGAATCGAGTCTGGTTGTAGTGGAATAGATTCGCCTTGACCAGTTTCTCCAGTGGCAGACTGTATAACTCGTTTTTTTCCTCTTGACTCCTCTGCTTCGCACCACCCACAGCCGATATCAAAAGTGGTATGCCAGTCTTATTACAAAAAGAGTAGATGCCAGTACGCCGCAGATCGAGGCGGCAACGAAGGAGACGCAACGCTGTTACCAAAGGAACTGTCACAGATGCATGGGGGCACGTCAGTGCACCCTGCAGGGAGAAACCGCCACCAGCATACCGCGCGTAGTCCACTGCTACTTCAGACGACACCGCGATGACCTCGCGCGACGGTTGTAATTGTGGGTAGTCACTGACACGCACCACCATGGACGCCGTACAGGCCATACGATTAAGACTGCGGTTTCCCTTTGCCAGGAGAGCAAAGGAGTTCAACATAATCGTCGCCTCAGTCTTGTAAAAGTCGTTTGTTAATATGAACTCCATTTGAGGAGCTGAGGCGCCAAACTCAATTAGTGGAGTTACCTCTCCTTCATGTGACCACACTAACGAGTTCTCAACAGGAGTTTGGTGAACAGTGCTGCTTGAGAGGGAGGATGGCGTAGGCTTGGAGTGGCTAAAGTCCCGTCCATCCTTCGTATGAGCCGATTCCAGTGCTGTGGTCCCCCGCATTGTTGAGCCAATGTGCTCCACGCCTTGCCGCAGTTGGTTGTAAGTATCCAATAGGAGCCGGAGGTTCCCCATCGAAAGCGTGAAGCCTGTCGGGGGCACACTTGCTCGTACCACCGTCATGCCAGCGTTGGTGCGGTCCTCTTTAAGCTTGTGATGCTTCACATGGACCACCAAGCCCGTTGGTTCTTTGGTGATACGACCGCTGTCACACAGAATCGACACATTTGACAGCCCAACCTCGCCACTCTCGTCCATAAAGTCTCTTACCCCTCGGTTGGCTTCAAAGCAGTTTTTCTCAAGTTTGTACCGCGCGTACGCTTCGCATGAAACAGCGATGGTCTGGCGTTTTGACCAAAGCTGCAACACCACATCAGCAGAGACATCGAGACTCACCTTGAGGTTGTACCATCGCGCATTATTCAATGCCAGTGTCATTGAAGGAGTAGCAGCCGCCGGAGAAGGGGTCAATGGACCTCCTACGGGAACCACAACCACTGACTCCGTTGGGGCCACAAAAACCGAGCGTCCGCCCAACTTCACGTAATCCATCACTTTTCCGTGCTCGAGAACAAATGGGACACCCTCAAACACAACAGTAATACCAGGATCAACAACAATAGGCAGCTTCTGTGAACCATCTGCGGCAACAAGAAACGAAACGATAACGCGTGCATGGTTGATACACTTTACGGTGATCCGATTTTGTGGGCCTTTCTCAATGGGTTCCTTGGCGAATCGAAGGCATGATCCACGTCTACCGCCCAGTGTAAGATCCGCCTTCAGACAGAAATCGTGCGTTATGATGATGAGCCGTTCGTGGTGGTCGCCGCCAGAGCTGCTGCTGAGTGTGGAACTCACATCTTTCACGTGGCGGGAGGGCACCCACGAGACCGCCGTATTACGCGTGCGACACATGCCCGAGGCGACGTGCACAAGAACATGCTCGTTCAGCGTGCTCAAAAGCTGTGGAGATACCGTAAGCTTCACAGCGTGCGCACGTGCAATGACATCCACGAGGCGCGACGGCATCTGCTCCGACACTGCGACGCCTTCGGCCGAGGACTCCGAACGTGTCTCCGCCTCAACAGAGGAGACTTCGTACCAGAAGTAAAGCGCCCATTGAGATGGGGCATCAAGCGCCCCACGTGGGGCGGTCGCACTGACAAACTCGTTCTGTATGGCTGGATCCACTGTACTGGTGATGGAAAGCACTTGTGCGAGGGTCTTTTCATTCACACCCATACGACTCCGTTCAAAGAACACTTTATGCACGCTCACCCCAAAAAGAACGGAGGGCCTCTCTACCAGTAGATCATCCGACTGGGAAGCACATACATTCAGTGACACCAGCGGGACACTGAAGACCAGCTTGTCGCTACACAGCGGCGTTGGTGGCGCCGCCACAACTGCGGCAGTATTATAATCGTTATTGTCATGCCGGTATGCAGCAAGTGGGAAGCAGAGAAGGGGCAGCACAGCCTGCGCGACCGCCTCCACACAGCACTGCAACGTGTCACCGAGTGGTATGAATGCCTCCAGACTGCTCAGGTGGACCACCACAGAGCGCGATTGCGCCACGAGGTTCTCCTCCATGAAGCACGTACATGATATGTTCTTTACAAGGGGCGATAGCAGACCTTGTGGGCGACAATAGCGAATGACACCACTTTCCGTCTCGAATGTCAATGAACGCCCCGCCGTATGAGCTGTTTGTTTCAGTATGACAGCAGGAAAAACCAAATCAACGCTTCCGACTTTCAACCCACTCGACGCAGAATGTCGTGAGAGGAAGAAACACACACGAAAATCCATCNTGTCACAATCACAGACTGCTTAAACCCATCTTCATTCTTTTTTGAGAATTTAACGTTCTGAGTGATGTAGTCATGCAACGTCCCAACAGACTCACGAAGATCTGAGTAGAAGAGCATGTCATAGTTGTTGATAATGAAAGATTTAGCTCGTATGTTTACCTGCCCTACGCCTAGGGATAACTCAAGGGCAGAAACAGAAACGAACACCTCTTGGCTCTCCATGCGTCGCAGTGAAAGTTCACCAATGAGGAAGTTGTACGGAATAGAGTCAGCGTCACGTTCCACAGTATCCCAACTGAACCGTGCCTCCATATTGCGAGCCTCCAGCAGTGCGGTATTCTCTATCATCACCGAGGCTGTGGCGATACGGAAAGTCAAGGTAGTTTTTTTCCTCTGCTGAGGAGACGTCTGATGCGAAGCAGCACGATCCTCCAATTCGATTGTTGACAACATACTCTTGTCACCAGTGGCGCCACCAACACCACTGTCAACCCCTCCTAAAAAGCCTTCGTGTTTCACAAGAGCAATGAAGTTGTGCATACGGAGTACAAAATCCACAGAGTGGGGGTGGAGCGAGATGATAACGCCGCGCGACTCCACCCGCATTCGTCGCTCCTGTACTGTATCGGATATCTCAAGCAGCAGCCCTGTGTCATCTGGAGGAAGCAGTGGACGAGGCGGTTGTTTGCCGTCTGCTGCTGCCGCACACCGGTAGAGAACAACAGCGCCTTGGCCGTCAAGCAGCTCGAACGCCCCCCTCACCGCGAAGTGCACGCGCATTCGAGTCTCATCACACGGCGCAAATTGGATAGTGAGCGTCACGACACTAAGAAGGCGTAGTTCCGCCATTGCAGCGATTCCACCGTTCTTCTCTTCCTCCTCAAGTGCCGCAGCAGAAGCGGCGTGGCCAGTCTCCGTCACACGGACGGACAGGCGCGGAAGCTCCAGAGCAAAGAGGGACCTTGTGTATGGAGATGCTTCACCAACCTGAGGCGGAGTGGCGTAATACAGCGGCGTTTCCTCCACGTGCGATGACGACAACACTGTCAATGCCAACATCGCGTCATGTATATGGTGTGCAGAAATGGAGAAGCGCACTTCTTCTACCGGCCTGATGTGGATGCGACGAGAAAATAACGGTGATATGGGGGCTGAAAGCGATGCTGGCGCAACGAAGATGTAGTTTGAGCGTATGTACGCGCGGTCATCAGATGTGACAGAGACACTCGATCGCCACTCGCTGTACGTACTCTGAGAGACAGGGAGTTGCANACGCACAACCGTATTTGGAAGCAGCAAAGGATAGAGTGGCTCGCGTGAAAGGAGCGCCCCCCACACGCTGATGGTGAAGGTATTAGAGAAGCAGTACAAGCATCCCATTCCAGCGGGCGCCGTGTTGTCGAGAACCACCTCTGTGCATTCATTACCTATTTCCATCGTCTGCACAACAAGACGCCAAAAGCCCGTTTCTCTTAACGACTCCTCCATTGGGAAGAACACCTGCAGGTCCCGCACACTTGCAGATATGGCGGGCACTGACGTGACGGGTACGATGTTCGCAGGCGCTGCGGCAGGTAACAACGCGGTATACGCTGCCACCTCACTTAATGCGAAGTGCATGAGACGCCTGAGAAATTCCACGTTGGCAATCAGTCTTGCCGACTGCAGCACCACCTCAAAACGTCTGGTGTACCGCACCTGGGGCTTTTCCTTGTATTGTGTACCAAATTGGTAGGATTCCATCGCCTCGATTGGCAATGTCGCAGTGATTCGGAGGTACGCTGGTACTCCTGTTTCTGAAGTTTTTGTCGCCAAATCGGTGGGAAGTTCGCCCCACTCCAGAATGGACCCTTGCGCAGCACACACGTAGCACGGCTCGAGTGTTACCCTCTCATGAATCAACAACTCTACTGTCCTCTCACCACCGCATTGGTAGAGCCGCATTGACACGGATCCCAGCGACAAGGTAGCGAGAGACTCCTCCCAGGGCTCTTCGAGGTGCACGCTGCACTGCCGAACCGTTACGACCATCACAGAGGAGGGAGATGCACGCGATACGTAGGGGCGGCTGTGACTGCTACTCTTTGACGCCCTCAGTGCCTTTTCGATGTCATCGCATAGCAGCATGTTCATTAGAGCAACCAAGGAAGACCGTGCAGGGTACACCTTCACACCGTCCAACACGTACTCGGTTGTGGTTGTCAGTGACCCTTCTGATAAAGTGCTCATCATGAAGGTGCAACCGCTCTCCACCTCCAGTATCCGCTTCTTTCGATTTGGGAGAAGCTCCCGTGACGCATCACGCTGTCTCCACTCAGGGATATCGCGACGCACAAGAAGTCGGCTTGGTGAAATGTCATCTACTGTTACCGCGTTTAGGTGGATCATCTGGGTCGCCGACTCTCCGCGTGTCCCACCACATGAATAAAACTGGAGCTGAGCGCGCACCGAAAAGACATCCTGCTCGTGGATGAGAACGACGCGGGCTGAAGAGACAGTAATAAGTACAGAACATGTAGAACGATCCGCTGCCGTCACTGCTGGTGCCGTTGTCACTCCAGTGCTCCCTGCATCACTCCGCGAGCAACCCGCTCTGTCGGGCTTCTTGAGTATGTTGGCATATAGTGCCCGCAAAAGGGAATTCAGCATAGCGGTCGTGAGTTTCATGTCCATTGCCGCCTCTGCTGGTGTCTCCCTTTCCTCCTTTCCCGCTTCATTGGTATTGTAGGTGTCGTTATCTCTGCTGTGTAGGGTGCCTATCCTCATATGAGCCACAAGATCACTCCCGTTACCAGTCGCATACTCGTAGCCACTCCTGTCTGCGTTTGGCACAAGTCGCACGTAGTTCTCGACAGTCATTGACGCTTGCGCAATGAACGGATGCAGTAAACACTCCGTTTCGGTCGGAAACAGATGGTATGAGTTGAAAAGCTTCACCTCCGTCGTAAACCGCGGCGTACCACCTTCACTATTATAACCACCTCCACTTCCTTCTCCCCCCAGCGATTCAAATGTCAGCATAATCTTCTCAACGTTGAAGTAAGTGAATGTACTGGCAGAATGCACATCAATCTCTCGACTAGCATCCGTGGCGAGGAGAAATTCCAACCCATTCACTTCTCCCTTGATAGAAGTTACAGTAGATAGATGACTAGTTTCCGTCGCCCTATTTTCTTTTTGCTGCAACAGCAACTGACGACGAGCTGAAGACTCCGTGTGTGCTTCAGAGTAGCCGAAATTGTCATCTCCAGACGTTAAGAGCGCCAGGAGACGCACAAAGTTAGGGTCATGGTGTAGGGATACCACCTGCATCCAGTACGCAAAAAACACATCAACTCTTCCACCCTGGGTTTCAAACAGCACCGAACGACGAATACTGCCATCTGATTCCCTCTTGTTCTCCACGTCGCAGTTGAATGAGAGGGGTTGTGCATTACCCACAGCACCGCAACTTGGCCCAAAGAGAGTGCAAGTCCTCAGCCCATCCGCATCCTCCGCGGCATACTCAATACGGTTGAGAGCGCCTCTTAGCCTCATCTTTTGTCCAGTGGGCGTGTGATCAACGCACAGTATTAAATCACTAACACATGCAGAGACGCTCTCGTCCAGTTTTTCTATCAAGAGACGAACATCCATCCTTTTCAGCGAAACGTTCATCACCCGTTTAGTGGCATAAGTAGCAGCACCAGCAGCATTTGTGTCTGACACCGCACGATCATCACCAGCCTTATTCCATTTTATGGAAGACACTAATGACGAGTGTGGATGTAGCTGCAATGATGCGCACGAAGTTAGCAGTACTTCAACACAGTCAACAAGGGAATGACAGAGCAAGACTTGCAGTGCTCTGGCATCAACAGAAAGCACCCCCAACGAGGCACGAGACAACAATGTAAGGGCTTCGAGTACGAGCACATGCTGACCAGAGGGAGAAGTAACGTGCACATCCGGTAGCTGCAGCAAGAAATCGTAACCAGAAGCGCCTGCGCATGTCACCTCTAGTGTCAAGGCCCCTTGGGAGGGAAGTGGAAGCAACGATGTTAATTCACCGTTCTCCATAGTAACATGTCCTGGCAGCTCAATATTCACAACGTCCTCATGATTCGCATCACGTACTGTGGCATGTGCAAAGTCCACACTCACTGCAAACCGTTCCAAGAACGGCGTAGCTGTTGCAACTGTGGTGGAGACACGTGGTTCATGTGCTTTTTTGTAACCCATCTCTCTCGCGCACGCTATTTGGTAGAGTAAGATGAGATAGCTTCGACATTTTACTTCTGGAAACGCAACTACAGTGCTACCAACGATCAAGGCGCCGTTGGACTCCAGATGCCACTCTCCGTCATTTGCATCAATAATAGAAACGAGCGATCTACCCGTATCCTGCTGCACGAGTATCAGGCTCTCGAGGTGATCGTTCATGAGACCAAAGATAACTGGGTCAACCGACACTTCCAGACGCGTCCTCACAAAGACACTTAACCGTTTCCCAAGTGACATGTCCACTTCCACATATGAAAGCGTCACCACATCAGCTATACCCTCACAACAAAGTCTAACCGGTTTCTCGCCACCCGCAGAGAAACGCCATTTCACCATGGAAACTGGTTCATGCGCGTTATGCGTTTCATCAGAACCCACCGTTGAAAGAAAGATCTCCGGAACATAAAGAGACAAATCGCTTCTTTCCGTTTTACCAGTGGTCAAAGGCATGGTAAGAATAACCTCAGCAATGTTAAAGTCCACCACAGGAACAGGAACAGGAACAGGAGGAGGAACTGACGAGGAGCGGGGTGGAGCTGATAATTCGCACAACGGTGTAGCTTTTTGCGTAAATAAGGGCAATATTTCTAAAAAGCTGCGAATGCCACCCAACCACCATTGTAGTTCGCAAAGCGGCTGTACAGTGATGCTAGTCGCTTCCAACGAACCACTCACTACCGAGCAGGTCTCGTTCACGTTGATGGAGAGCCAGCGTTCGCGCGTAAAGCTACGATTCTCATTACTACTCTCCGTTGCCAATTTTTTGCGTCTCACAGAAGACTCCACAAGTGGTGAGAGCAACGACCCGGCGAATCCAATAGAACAACTTCCAACGCCAAAGGTAATCCCAACCAGACCATCCCTCGGCATAGCGTTCACGAAATGTCCGTATTCTACCTCGTTAAAGGAGGCCTGCAGGTGCTGTTTAATGTTTTCTAAATACGCCAAAGTTGGTTTCTTCTCCGAAACGTCACCCCTCCACGTATGTGGGTAAAACTCCATATCCACCCTCCGGATCTTGACTTCAATAGCAAAAGGTGTTCCGCTCGATGAAGTAGATGGCAAAGATGCTGGCTTCATGGATGGTCCAACATGTGTTGTCGCTATGCGTTGTAAGAAATCGTAGCCAAACGCCCATTCCGACTCAAAACTACCCATCACAGTTGCCTGTTCATCTAACGTTAAATCTGGTGCGTCACTGATTTTCGCACTTCTTCGCCCAGCCCACCACCACCACCACCAGCTATTGGTTCTGCTGTTGTTACTACCACTACTATTATTATTATTATCTGCTGCATCAGACTGCTTAGCATTGGTAGGTTGCTTGCGTCTTATCGCATCCGCAATGTACAACTTCTGCTGCGTCAAGCATTGTTTCTCTTTACTCAGCTCTGCGTATGCAAGACATCGTAGGAACAGGACTTGCTCGAGTGTGAGAACCTTCTCTAGGGCACTCAAGTTGGTGTTCTCTTCTGTCGTTAGAGGCGGCAGCCACGACACGCCTTTTGCTCTCTTCCACAATGCGCAGTACTCCCTTCTTCGCTTGCCGAAATGCACGACACTATCAACAAAGCAGTGATGACCCCTTCCCTTATTTTTCGATCGCCGAACATCGTCCAATACGCAGCACAGAGCGTATTTCCACCGGCGTTGCGCCCACATTACTGATGCCATGGCTGTTGATCTGTCGGCCTCCCCTTCACTTTCATTAAGGAGGTGGAGGTGTTGCCTATAGTTCACCCCAAGAAGGCCATCCCTAAGCGAGCTGTTAATCATTGCCATGGTCCCCAACGCTCCGAAAGATGCCCTAATCTTCATAGGGTGCGTTGTTGTCGCAGAAACCAGTACACGATTATTACCAGTGGTAGCAAGCTCTTGCGCACCAGCTGCAAGACGCATAAGCAATGTGAGGTCTATCATTTCAACAATAGTCATCTCCTCTTTCCATGCTCGCGACGCATTACTGTCTTCTTCTCCCTCTGGTTGTTCGCGCTGTTGCATATTTTGCTTCTTTTGTTTTATGGCATGAACAGAGACACGCAACCCACCAAAGACAACCTTTTTGCAGTATGGCATCGATAGGTTCATGATGAATCGGTCCTCCCATTCTTCATCAGTTGTCGTTATGTAAGCCTCATCGATTGCCACACTCAGCGCACACGTGAAGCATGGAGCTAGACCGTGGTAGTCCAAAACGTACTTTATAGATACATCCCGCAGCACAATATGGATGTTCCGTGTAATTGTTTCAGTGAGCATTTCAACATATGTGCGATTTGGCTTCGCACCACCCTCTTTTCCGGTTTCAAGGGGGCTTCCCGCTGTTCGTTGACTAATTCCGCGCCTGCGTCCTAATCTTTCCATTTCAAACATTTGCAGTTGCTTCTGTTTAACGACAAGTACCCTGGAAGCATCCTCTTCGGCGTTGTAAGGTCTCCCACGCAAGAGACCAAACACAACCTCCACGCCGCGCACCTCCACACTTATTGGCTCCCGATCGAGGGCCGACCACGGCACGGTGATCACCAGCTCATTCACCACGCCCTTGACAACTGTAAATGGCAACAAGAGAGCCTGCGCTGCGGCCTCCGCGGCATCGACGCCCTCCTCTCCTTTTCCGCTTCCTCTTTCCCACTTCCCTTGGAAGAGCGACAGGGCGATCTGGTCTAGAATGTTGGTGCGCAACTCCAGGTCCCGCAACACCAGGTCACCAGACCAGAGAGAGATACGCAGTTGCTCTTCATTCAGATCACAGATAAATCGGTTCAGATACGTTGCGAGTAGAACGGATAGCTGTTTCTCCAACATGATAATGAGGCAGTATTGTCCGCCAATCACAGACCCCTGGCTGTATTCTTCTTCTTTCCGACCTGGAGGCAAAGCCTAGACGCACGCCCACACACGGTTGAAGTAACGGCGGATCGTAGAACACGAAGACCTTACTTCAAACCTGTAATGTCTGTTGTCCTTCCGCCACGTAATACCAAATGTATGTATTTCCTTTGAAGAAGAGTAAAAGAACATGAAAAAAAAGCACCCATTCATTACACGCAACTATGATATGCCGTGAAGCTCGACTTTAAAAGCAAATAAAAATAAAGAGAAAATAAATGAAAATATGCCGGCAATTCCTCCTCCCCCGCAAAAAAAAAACCACACACAACTTTATTCCCCTCTCAAAGGGCTGATTGGAGGGGGGGGGGGCAGACAATTCTACATCCTTTTTTTTTTCTTCGCCTCCATCGTTGGCAAGCAGCTACTGGCACATCAGTACCCCTCCACCAACTTCCAGCGCTCTTTTTCTCGTCGTTCTTCACTCGGTCCACAAGTTCGTCGCGAGTAGCTGCATCGCGAGAACTTCTTTGAATTTCTCCATCGACACATGGCCCTGCTCATCCGCCGCGTGCTCAATTGCTTCGTCTTGCGCCGGGGAAAGACCCAAATCTCCCTCCCCAGCGGCAGTTGCTAAATTCTTGCATGTGTTACGCAGTTGGCTCACGGTTACCCACCGCTGCTTCGTAACATCAATAAGATTAAACATCGTCTCAAGATCCTGTTCCTTAAAAAGTGACGTCGATGTCTTTGTCTCTAGCAATAGTCGGACCTCTTTTTGGAGAAATTCACGCGGGTTCTCTGGCTTGTGATAGATGAGCAGCTGAAGGAAATGGGCAAATAACTCATTAAGTTTGTGCTTCTTAACGTACGAGCGTGTCTGGGCGACTTGGTCGTTGTCGTCCGCTGTCGCCGCCATTTTTGACCGCTATCTATGCCCCTTGTTTGTGTCCCTAGCAAGGGTAAAAAAGGTACTGGAGGTGCAACCCCTTGAATGTGACCGGAGAGAGAGAGAAAAAAAAAAAAAACAAAAAAAAAAGGCATAAGAGGATAAAATAAGAATGGAAAGGAGTAGCTTTAAAGCAGACTCCTCAAGGCCTACCACATCAGATTCTCTTTCCAGTTGAAGAGCAATTTTACCCACTCACACCGTAAGCTTCTCTTCTGGTAAGCTGTCTTCTAAGCTCTAACATCCATAATTGGCACGGCAAGGTACACGATACAACATTTTCACGGTACCACTTGTTTTGTTTCCATTTTCGTTTTTTTTTTTCCCGGGCGAATCTCACTGTTTTTTTTTTTCTATACGCAAAAAAAAGGAGAGTGGTACGATCCTCTCTAGTGTACGCATCCCTCGCTGATCAGGTTGCTTTGTGTTGCTGCTTTGCCTCGGTGGATTGAGTTGCAAACGGCGGGAATCCGACGCGAATTTCGTTTCGCCCGAATTTATTACTCATTTCCAAGCTCACGCATTATACCCGTTCACCTCAACCAACAAGGTAGCCCCAAAAGTTTCTTGACAGGACATGCCCACAGAAACAAACAAAAAAACACACACACACATAGACATATATATATATATATAATGCAACATTTACAAAAAAAAATCTGAGTGCTCAGTTCCTTTTGCGATGGTACCGTTCCAAATTAACGAGGGCCGCTGCCCGCTCCAACCGCCTTTGATACACTTCCAGACTGGTTAAAAGGCTAGAAAGTTGTTCCTTCAACGTATCATCGGCTTCATCGTCCTCGTTCTCGTCCAGAAGACGGTACTTCGTTGTCTTCGGTGAACTGGACCGTGAGGAGCGACGTGCCAGATTGTAGGTGTGAGAAGGAATAAGAGGCCCCTTTGGCAATTGCTGTGGGTCCTGATCATAGAATGCAGCAATCTCTGCAGGGACCTTCGGAGGGTTGCTATACGCACTAAGAAAGCCCGCAAGTTCCTCGCCTTCTGAATTTAAAGGTTGAGAATTGGAAAAAGATCGAGAATACGCTCTCGGTGTTGCACTTCTAGATGCTGTCCGAGAATTTCCATGTGATTCTGAATACCGAGGACTCAGGGTGAATTGAGGTTCTTTCCATGTAGGATCTTGTCGCCAGTTGGTTCGCTCGCCTTTTCTCGAAGGCGGCCTTCCACGGCCAACTGAAGCTGTCCCCTCGGCTGAAGGAACCAATACACGGCACTCAGCATCCGAATTCGCACCCTGCACGTCACGCGACACGGGGGCAACAAGAAGAGGCGAACCCAAGCGACGGTCGACGCCGCTTCCACTGAATCTTCTTGAACGTGGAGGTGAACGAGAAACCTTCTCGTATGACCCCACCGACGTTGGTGCCGGCCGTAATGGAGGAGGGGCATCTACTTTTGTTTCTGTGGAATCCTCCCAATTTGTCTTTTTCCAACCTCCATCTTGACCGAGCGGTGTCGTGGAGCGGTATTTATTCCTATCGCATGGCGCAGTCGTTGTCGTCGGCACGAACGCAGCGCCACGGGAGAGAGTTGGATCCATCACACCACTGCGAGCCTTGACCTCGGTAGAAGCCCTCGCTTCTGAGGGCGAAACCGTAGTGGGATTCTGTCGAAGGGTCACTTTCGTATCTCTTCTTCCGCCCGATGAGGCGATTTCCACTCGCCGCGGATCCGCCGACGAAGCCCGCGATCTGCGCCATTTGGCGATGGGTGATTCCGTATTCATCGCCGCTGCTCCATCCCCGACTCTTGGCTTCTCAGAAGGCCGGGAGACAGGTATTATAGTAGTAATACCCCTCACCTGTGACCCTGCGGTTGGGGTGTAACTCTGGCGATTGGGCGCATTCAGCGCGGATAAAGGCAGTGGCGCGTCTCCAGGAGAAGTTGTTGATGTCACTCGACTTGCTGGCACAGTGGAGTAGGTGGTAGCCGAACTCCTGGCATCCGCTGAAGCGGCACGAGTTCTGCGCCATCTTTCGATGGGCGAATCCAATTCTTGTACAACCGCCCCGTTACCGTCATTTTGTTTTGCGGAAACTCCGAGTGCTGTTTTTTGCATAGCCGTGTAAGGGACAGAATTGTTATTCATAGGAGGTGCCAGGCGCACAGTACGTGGGACGGCAGTCACCGCACCAAATCGCCCCTCAGTCATCGACGCTAAAGAAACGATGATATGCAATAATGAATGTGAATATGCGTAGGTAAAGGAGAGGGTGTAGGATGAAAGAAGTTGTATTGGAAAGCAGCTGAAGAAAGCAAGACCAAACTGCACAAGAGGAATCAAACATCGGTTTTTTTTTTTTTTT